CAGCATTACTGATCGGCTGCAGAGTGAAAACGTCATTCTGTGCGACTGTGTTTTGATCTAAGATCACTTTACGCACTGCTAGTTAAGATGTACCGTAAGTGTCTGTGGTGCAACTGAAATTCTGTGGGTCTAGTTTTAAACAAACTACTCACAACGTAGGGTTTAGGATGGACTTTACACTCCAACCTACAATCCAACTTGAGTTCAGTTGGTGCAACTGGCTGCAGATGTTTATATTTATGCACCACCAAACATTCTCCCAAACCGTGCTTGGGTAAGCGAGGATCTGGAACAGAGTATAACATGTAAAAGTTATGCACAGAGAGACAGATGAGGTGTTGCAACCATACGTTGCTGCTATTACAGCTGTTCCCCGAGTGTACAGGATCCCTGTGGAGGGAGAACACACTCACAGTGAGGGATTCACAGTGATACTGAGTTGAACAGAGCTGGATTTGGGTTTTTTTGAATGGAGAGATGTCCAGCAGCTGCAGGGGCTTAACCAATATTACCTCAATTTTTCACCTTACATCACAGCTTGCATCACCTCCCCAGAGGCAAGAGATGGATTATGGAGGCCAGAAACTTCAGTCACAGAGTGATTAATTTGTTTTCTGATTAATATTTTTGCTGAGCAGAAACACATTTTAACAAGTACCAAATGCATTTCATGTCAAGTCATGTGTTACCATTACAGTCTATAAAAAGCCTTTAGTGATGGACTCTGTCTGTCTGTCTATGTGTCTGTCGGTCTATCTGCCTTTCTTTCTGTCTGTCTGTCTGCCTGCCTGTTTATCTATCTATCTATCTGTCTATCTATCTATCTGACTGTCTGTCTTTCAGCATGTCTATCTCTCTTTCTGTCTGCCTGTCTCTCTATCTATATGTCTCTCTCTCTGTCTGTCTGTCTGTCTATCTATATATCTATCTATCTATCGCTCTGTCTGTCTGTCTGCCTGCCTGCCTGCCTACCTACCTGCCTGCCTGTCTGTCTGCCTATCTATCTATGTATCTGTCTGTCTGTCACTTTGTCTGCCTGTCTATCTGTCTGTCTGCATGCCTGCCTGCCTGTCTGTCTATATATCCATATATCTATCTATCTATGTGTCTGTCTGACTGTCTATCTCTCTGTCTGTCTGCCTGTCTGTCTGTCTGTCTGTCACTCTGTCTGCCTGTCTATCTGTCTGTCCACCTGCCTTCCTGCCTGTCTATCTGTTTGTCCACCTGCCTTCCTGCCTATCTATCTATCTATCTATCTATCTATCTATCTGTATGTCTATCTGTGTGTCTGACTGTCTATCTCTGTCTGTCTGCCTGTCTGTCTGTCTGTCTCTCTATCTGTCTGTCTGTCTACCTATCTGTCTGTCTTTCTGTCTATCTATTAGAGATGAAATGGTAACCGGTTTCACGGTAAACCGCGGTAAATTAATGGCGGTTAGTGGTACCGTTTGAACTTTAAAGTATCGTTAAAACCGCGGTCGATTACCGCAGTGTGAAAAACTCGCTGTACAGAGTCAAACAAAGGCAGAATCATCTCTCAGACGCAGCTCTGTGAGTGTGTGTGTGTGTGTGTGCGCGTGTGTGTGTGTGTGTGTGTGTGTGTGTGTGTGTGTGTGTGCGTGTGTGTAGAGGGGAAGGGGGGGGTGAGAGGGAGAGAAGAGAGAACATGGCGGAATGTAGTGACAGAGATTCAGAGATATTTCAGCCTTCTAAGAAGACCAAGTCTGACGTTTGATCATGTTTTGGGTTTTATAAGGATGCAGAAGGAAAGTTAATTGAAGATGACCACCCTGTCTGCAGATGACCACCCTGTCTGCAGAACAGGCCTAAAGAAAACAGCGGCGAAAGGGGGCAACACATCAAACCTTACGAGTCATCTTCGCGACCACCACCCGCTACTTTTTAGAGAATGCTAGGTTAACTTTAACGGAGAAGTCTGTGGACTTCGAAATAGAAGAAATGTCATGATCTGTGTGGTTTAACTTTTGCTTATGGTTCATTAATCATATAAAATGAAGCTTTTAGCGTCAAAAAAAAACAAAAAAACAATCGGTGAATCCACTGTGAATCGAAACTAAAGCTTTTAACACATTTTTCTGTGGAGCAGAGTCTCCAAAATGAGCTCTGAGTTAAGAGTCACACAAACTCTGGAACGAGACGCTGCAGAGGTTCAATCTGCACAGCTCCCCTTTCTCGCTTGCAGTGTTTACTTTCTGAGAAGAGAATAACTGTCTCAAATCACTCAGTGTCCCCTACATAGAGCGCTACTTTTCAAACAAACACGATCATCATTAACAAGCAGCTGAGTTTTAAATAGGGAGTTTGTAGCCTGTTGTTAATGTTGATTATAGATGACTTAGTCGAACGTTTCCTGCACTCTTTGCGTGAAGGATTTGCTATTTCATGATCTACGAAGTGCACTACATAGGGAAGATAGTGTGCTTTGAGACGGGACCTTGCGCGAGTAAACGCTGTGTGCCGCTTTTGGGAAAAGCAGAGTTTCAGAGATTAAGCTGTAGGAGTGTTTCTGCCGCAGCTCAGATGCATGTTAACTTTAAGTTATGTTTTAGTTTTAAAACGCTTTTAGAGAAGCAGCTCCACAGGTGGAGACACACTGTGTGAGTTCTACACTGTCTGCAGCTCACAGCGCGTCACGCAGTTCCTCTGTGATTTTGGCTGTTTTTCCTGGTGCGCTGTATTGATTAGGGGTTCAGCGTCACAACAGCACCATAATGCTGCAGTTGCAGTTCGGACAGAAATCCCCCGAGTGCAGCACTTCTTAGAAGTAGTAATTTTCCATTAAGACCCACCTCAGAGTTGGTGGAGATTTAATTCTCTATGCAGGGAAATCCCTAATTATTGTAATTAATAATAATAATAAAAATAATAATAATAATAATAATAATTACAGCAGTAATAATAGTAATGGTGAAACGAATTTCAGTTTGTGTATCAGTGTTTATTTAATTATTTATTTATTTTACTTTTCAACGCTTTTGAACAATATCGCGATAATATCGATAATCGTGATAATTCTGGTCATGATAATCGTGATATGAAATTTTAATATTGTTTCATCTCTTCTATCTATCTATCTATCTATCTAACTAACTATCTATCTATCTGTCTATCTATTCCTTAGGTGTGTAACGATAAACAAAAGTCATAATACAGTGCGATACAGCGGTGCCTAAATTTGATATTTGATTTTTTTAGGGCTAAAATAATGAAAGTCTGAAAATCTGCCTTATGTTAATGTGTTAATATTTCCAGCTTATTAGAACATTCAACAATATAAAAAGTGTCATATATAAAAGTATTTGAGACTAAAGTTGTGCTTTATAGTGTTCCAGTATAGTGATCTAGCCTATAGGTAATTAGGTAGGCCCATGTTAACACACTAGCCACAACATGCTAGCATGCTAATATGCTAGCCACAATAAGATACATTACCATATGATATGCTGTGATATAGTTTGATGCGTTGTACTGCTCCCTACTATCTATATTTCAGACATAATCTTCATTAATCAACATAAGAAATTAAAACAATTTTCAGCTGTTAGACCATGAGGCGAACTAACAAACTAACATAACAAGCAACAGACCAAAAACAAAACAGCGATACATAGTGACGGTTTACATCCGAGCGGTTGTGCAGTATACCAGAGGAAAAATGTCTTTCTTAAGATTATCACAAAGAAATGAAGCCGATCTCAGTATTATCTTAAAGAAGGATCTCTGAGTTCTTTCACCTCAGGAGAAAAGAGATTAACATCAGCATTTCACTGTGAGAAGTTCTGGTGGTGAATGGGAAAAGCATGAGTTCTCCTTCTGCACTGACACAGTTCTGTGATCTAGAACAGAGCTGTACACTGATCAAGCATAACATTATGACCACCTCCTTGTTTCTACGCTCATTGTCCATTTTATCAGCTCCACTTACTCTATAGGTGCACTTTGTAGTTCTACAGTTACAGACTGTAGTCCATCTGTTTCTCTGCATACTAGTGGATCAGACCCAGCAGTGCTGCTGGAGATTTAAACACTGTGTCCACTCACTGTCCACTCTGTTAGACACTCCTACCTTGTCAGTCCACCTTGTAGATGTACAGTCAGAGACGATAGCTCATCTGCTGCTGCACAGTTTGTGTTGGTCATCCTCCAGTCTTTCATCAGTGGTCACAGGACGCTGCCCACAGGACGCTGTTGTCTGGATATTTTTGGTTGGTGGACTATTCTCAGTCCAGCAGTGACACTGAGGTGTTTAAAAACTCCAGCAGCACTGCTGTGTCTGATCCGCTCAGACCAGCGCAACACACACTAACACACCACCACCACGTCAGTGTTACTGCAATGCTGAGAATGATCCACCACCCAAATAGTACCTGCTCTGTGAGGGTCCATGGGGGTCCTGACCACTGAAGAACAGAGTAAAAGGGGGCTAACAAAGTATCAGAGAAACAGATGGACTACAGTCTGTAACTGTAGAACTACAAAGTGCACCTATAGAGTAAGTGGAGCTGATAAAATGGACAATGAGTGTAGAAACAAGGAGGTGGTCAGAATGTTATGCCTGATCGGTATATAAGGAAACAATGAGATCTCACGCTTTTCTTATGGAGATCTTATTCAGCTCAGACTGGGCTGAGGCGAGTCAGACACTAAATGGCTTAAGTCTGATTTCAAGCCATGTCTTTGAAAAGTACATGAGATTAAAAGGAAGTCTCATTTACAGTATTTCTTCCCACTGGTAAAGTCCTATTAACAGGGAAGCTGAGTCATGTCTGAACTTTTTGACTTTTTATTTAAATCCATGCTAAACCGCATGTGCCGTATCGGCTCCATGCCCTGTGGTTTTATCGAGGATGTTCCAGCTCTCTCTGGTTCATGAACATGATACCGCCGTGAGAACACGAAGATAATAATCAGTAGAAGAACAAAGAAAGTGAAAAAGGAACACACCTTAAAACAGGCTTGTGTTTGTTTCTCTTTTTCAGGGGCGATTAAGACCGTCTCCGGTTCTGACACAGGTAAGGTTCTCACCTGCTTGCAGCTGATGTGTTTACAGGAGATGCTGTGTCAACAAAAAGTGACATTGACAACTGCTTGTTTGAGGTCTTGCTGGTAGTTGCACACATTGTTATGAGCACATTAGACTCATTAATCACTCATATGCTAGAAAGTACTTTTTCTGCCAGTGTTATCAGCCAATTAGAAATGGGCACTATAACCAATCATTGAACCTTAAGTAAATCTCACATCTTTACAAGCATACAAACATGTAGCAAGGTGGGCAAAATACAATAAAAGCATAATTCTATTTTTGGCTAAACAGAAGTGAAAAAAAAATAAAATGCACAAACTTTCAAAAGTGTAGCCAATGCTGGTAGCAGAAGATGACTAAAGTAAACATTTCACTAGGATTTTAATTGGGGTGGGTGGTTTGGGGGGATTCTCTCTGTCTGTTTATTTCCACACAGTGTTTACATTTTTTTTTCTTCCAGTAATTTTGTGACGGTTCCTTACACTAAAGCAGGCACAGAAGGAAATGTAGTGATGGTGTGTGTGATGTTAGGAGAGACGAAGAGGCAGGATGCATGTACAAGTCCTTTGATTTATTTAAAACCCTGAGGACAGCAAATCCACAAAGGCGTTTAAACAAAGAAAATGAAGAAATTAATAAAAACAGAAAGAAAACAAAAGACAGAAGGACATGAAGTGAAACTAGTAAACAAACAGGAGATAACAAAATAAGGCCTGACTAACCAAAACACCAAGCAAACACAAAGCACACAACCAGGGGTAAAATACACATGGAGCAAACCAGAAAGACCTGGGATTAATGAGAGGGCGGGGCTACAGACAACAGACGGGTGAGACAGATGACAAGAAGGCAGGACCGGGAAGGCGACAAAGACTAGAATAACAACAAAAGCACATAGCCTATATAAACAAAAGCAAATGGAAGAAAAAAAACAAAGGCTAAACAGTGAAAGGCAAGACAGGACGTTACAGTGTGTGAGGAAATGAATCTATGATTAATCTACCAATAAAGAATAAAATTTCAAATGTTACAAGAACTTTTAGGACTTGACATGTTGCCCCACCCCCCCAGCCCAACGAGAAGTGGAAGCTTATACCCCACCAATTAGCATCATGCAAGCTTCATGTTTAACCCCTTAAAGGCCAGGGCTGCCGGCAGGCTCAAAGTTTTATTACGCACTTCTATAACCTAAGAATAGCTCAACCAGTCTGCATTGTAGTCCCTCAGCAATAAGCATTAGTATGTAATCAGCCTGAGATTTTAAGGGGTTAAATCATCACGCAGGCTGCAGGCCGTGCCGAGTTGTTAATTAATATTGAAGCCTGAATCTTGTTTGTATTTCTGTGCATGTTTTTAGATAGCAGTGTGTCACACAGTGTTAGAAACCACATAGGCAATGCCAACTGGTGGAGTACACGCTTCCATTACTTGTAAGCTACATTACATTCTTAAAAAAAGATGGTTCTTCAGGGGCTTTTTAGTAAAGAGAGTGGTTCTTTATTGAACCATGAACACTCAAAGAGCCATTTACATGCTTAAATGGTTCTTCAGACCACCTCCTTGTTTCTACGCGCATTGTCCATTTTATCAGCTCCACTTACTATATAGGTGCACTTTGTAGTTCTACAGTTACAGACTGTAGTCCATCTGTTTCTCTGATACTTTGTTAGCCCCCTTTTACCCTGTTCTTCAATGGTCAGGACCCCCATGGACCCTCACAGAGTAGGTACTATTTGGGTGGTGGATCATTCTCAGCACTGCAGTAACACTGACGTGGTGGTGGTGTGTTAGTGTGTGTTGTGCTGTTACGAGTGGATCAGACACAGCAGTGCTGCTGGAGTTTTTAAACACTGTGTCCACTCACTGTCCACTCTATTAGACACTCCTACCTTGTCAGTCCACCTTGTAGATGTAAAGTCAGAGACGATAGCTCATCTGCTGCTGCACAGTTTGTGTTGGTCATCCTCTAGTCCTTCATCAGTGGTCACAGGACGCTGCCCACAGGACGCTGTTGGCTGGATATTTTTGGTTGGTGGACTATTCTCAGTCCAGCAGTGACACTGAGGTGTTTAAAAACTCCAGCAGCACTGCTGAGTCTCATCCACTCGTACCAGCGCAACACACACTAACACACCACCACCACGTCAGTGTTACTGCAGTGCTGAGAATGATCCACCACCCAAATAGTACCTGCTCTGTGAGGGTCCATGGGGGTCCTGACCATTGAAGAACAGGGTAAAAGGGGGCTAACAAAGTATCAGAGAAACAGATGGACTACAGTCTGTAACTGTAGAACTACAAAGTGCACCTATATAGTAAGTGGAGCTGATAAAATGGACAATGAGCGTAGAAACAAGGAGGTGGTCATAATGTTATGCCTGATCGGTGTATTGCACCATGCAAACAACCATTTAAGCATGCAAATGGTTCTTTGAGTGTTCATGGTTCAATATAGAACGACTGTCTTTTCTAAAGAACCCCTGAAGAACCATCTTTTTTACGAGTGTTGGGTTGTAGCTCCAGTGTAAAACTAAAGAAACAGACTGAGCACTAAACATGTCCACATTTGAGGTGAGAGAAAAGTTGTGTAGATTTGTTTTCTCACCGAATTATGGCTGAAAAGTCAGTGCCGACATGCTGTTTCCTAAGTGCTCAAGGCCTCTCGTGCATCCAGACTTTTAAATTAGACATAATCAACCTGAAGTTTGACGTAATCCGCATTCAGACCCAACAATCCATACACTGTGTACAAACAGCTGTGCTGGCATGGTGCTCAGCACGATCCTGACATGTTATCTGCTGGATTTGGCAGAAGAGATGTCTCCACATGTTGGGCTTTGCAGGGCTGTTGCGCAAAGCCTGGAGTCTTGGCTCAGGTAGATAAGGGTGTGCAGGTATATGATGCACTCTTACTGCACCACAGATATGTGCGATGTCAGCTGCGGAACATATCGTGAATGTAAATGTGTTACGATGATCTCCGAGCAGGTATGAACAAAGCTTTAATATTTCTTTTGTTTGATTTTGCGGTATTTTTGGCTGTTTGTCTCAGAGGGGGCTGATATATCTGCAGGTCCCAGCTGGTATGAGCCTTTACTGGTTATCACTGAGATCCTGTAAATAAGCTAGCTTTGAATTCGCTCCTGACAGGCATCTCTGCTTTAATCACATGCTTTGTGGCTCTGTTAGGTAACAGTTGATGTCCAAGATCTGTGGCCTCTAGAAATGTTTTCAGAACTAGATGTACTGTGTGGAGCTATATGTCTGAATTCTGCAGCGTTTCATCTGAAATGAAGGGTGTTAACAGTCAGTTTGTGCTGCAGTAACAGCCTCTACTCTTCTGGAAAGGCTTCTAGATGTTGGAACATTGCTGTGAGGATTTGACTGAGCATTAGTGAGGTCAGGTGCTAATGTCGGATGGTCAGTTCTGGATCAGCTCCAACTCACGCCAAAGGTACTGGATGGAGCTTGATCACTCCAGAGAATGCAGTTCCGCAGTTCCACAGCTCCGCAGTTCCACAGGGGGGCTTTATACCCCTCTAGCCCACACTTGGCATTGGGCATGGTGACCTTAGGCTACTCCAAAGCATACCTTTCTATTGGTCAGTGCTTTTCTGTGGAGATTATACAAGTTTTGTCACCTGTTTCTTTTTTTTATTGTATTTTTTCAAGAGCATGCAATGCACAATTCCATGCACATGTTGATTTCCAATTATATATTCTTTCATGCATCTTATGAAAGGATATATACATACATACCTCTCCCCTTTTTATTCTTTAAAAGTTTTTTTTCCCCCTCTTTTTAACATTCCTAAAGAAAAACCAAATAACTGTTCACATTAAAACTTGAGAAGATTACTGTGTCACCTTTTTCAACCAGTTACCTTAAAACAGAAGGTCTGTAGAACAGTAGAACTGTCTGGATACTTTTTCACAAGAGTGTAATGATACACACTTTTTCAGGTTTGAGAGAATTTTTCTATTCTCAGGTCAAGAATTGGCATTTTCTGTGCTAAAAATGTCTTAATTCTGCATATCTCTAATTCTGTTTTACATTCTTAGCACAAAAGGTTCTATGCAGTACAGCGAAAGGGTTCTTTGGCTCATAAAAATAGTAGAATCCCTTTAAGTGCTACGTCGAATGTTATAAAAGTTCTTCAAAAACCAAATACAAGAGTCTCTCCTTTAAAGAAAGAACCATTTAAACATTCCGATGGTTCTTTGAGTGTTCCTGGTTCTGTATATAACCCTTGCTTTTGTTTAGGGTCTACATCTATTGGTTTGGCTCAGATGAATCACAACCTCTAGAAATTATAAGCTCTTCAGAAAAAAAGGCCAGTCATTTAAGTGTGGGTGTCTCCAGGGCATAAGCCACACCCCCTCCCCGCCCACTTCACTCTGATAGGCTGCACTCAGATGGCTAGTTTTGATCAGTGACGGTGGTTTCAGTGCAAGAGAGTGAGGGGCTGCACGAGTTCACATTTCCAGATACTCAAAACTTCATTTTTACAATTTTTCACTGAAATCAGTCTTAGTAAACATGCATCGGTGCCTCATGATGGATTTATTGTTGCAATGATTTAAAAATGTCTTCGATGGTAGTAACTGATTAAAAAATATTCAATAAAGGATACTCTCATGTTTTGGTCAAAATAAAATTTGGAAAAATTACCCAGATGCACAAGTATTATTTCATTTTAGTGACATTAAAAAGTTTGCCTCTTTTTTGACCAAATTAAAGTGGGCATTTCAGTCTATATTCCAAAATTTGTGCATAATTAACAGGTCAAGATGTAAACAGAGTCGTTCAGAGTGGTTTGGTGTGAAACGCTCTGTTCTAGAGAAACTTACAGAGTCAGAACTGTTCACAGTGGTGGTGATAGGAACCAGACGTCCACCTCTAAAAGAGTGTGAGTCAAAATAGTCCCTAAAGAAAACTTATTATTTCAGATTATTTCAGACAAATAGATACATACATACATACAT